CAGTTGATTTGTGTCAATTCGATATACGTGAATGTATAGAGAAGTCAACATGTGTGAAATAATCTCAGCGATTGAAATTTTTAATTAACCCCACTGTTTCGTCCAGCAAACTTATTGGAACTTCTTCATGGTAATCATCAACATCAAAATCAACAAAGAAATATATAGCGTTTAAACAATCAAACCAGATCAAATCTATACCATACGAATCCAATCATATTTGAATTTTGATTTTAGTAAATAGGATTATTTCAGATATAATTTTCACATATAATGACTTCTCTATATTCGGTGCCTAATTTTTGTCAAAATATTCGTTCTAATGGTATTTTTTGCTTGAATCTTTCCATTGAGGTTCAAGACTACAATTGATCACTCTGTTATTAGCATCTGTGCGTATTGCCTCGATATTGCCTTAATTCACAAGTTTTATAAGCAAATATGGATAGTGGTTAGCAGTGGAACCCAGGACGCGCATTTCTTCTTATTTGGGACTTGTCAGCTAGATGTACCTGCATCTCATAATTTATGTTCACTCTAGGACTCGAACCCAGTATCGTTCGCTTCAAACGCCATAGCGTTTTCAATGATTTAGATTCTAATATTGACAAATATTCATTTATTTTTTAGTAAACACATTCTTAAATGATATACTTTCATATTTTAACCAAATGACTATTCCAGTTAATTTTTTGTCGATTCATTCTATTGGTTATAGAAAACTGAATATGGAGGTTAGTTATTGGCTCAAAATTAACTACAGAAAATGTCAAATTTCTAGTAAGCACAGTAAAAGTGATTGGCAAAACAAAAATTGAGAATATAAATGGTAAACCAACTTAATAGTCAATTAGAGTTATATTCAAGACGGGGTGTTAATATCTTGAATATAAACACTTCAAATGATATCAGACGAGGATTGGCAAAGAAATGGCCCTAACTTGGAATACTGAAAGGAAACGGAAAAGAGGAAGACTAAAGAACACATTATGTCGGGAAATAGAAGCAGATATGAAAAGGATGAACAACAACTGGGAAGGATTACCCAGGACAGGGTTGGATGCAGAGTGCTGGTGGGCGGCCTATGCCCCTCCACGAGGAGTAACAGGCGTAAGTAAGTAACCTCTAAATTGATGAATATTTGTAGAACAGTTGACTGAATAACATACTTTTCTCTTGTAAACTAATACAATATTTACTCGACTCTTCACTCCTAGAGATATCACATTAGTATATGTTGGTATGAAACTATAGTTATAGTTATAGTATCAGATAAATAAGTGAAAGTTGATTCTTTAATACTTAACAACAACAAATTGGATTAAAAATGAAACTAGAAAATGACATTTTAATTGGTTAAACAATATAGCAGAAACTTTGTTAACCTTAATTTCGCATCCATGATGTTCACTGGTCGATCTAATCATACTACAGTTTATTCTACCGTTAGACCAATTGAAATAAATCATTTAATTAATTTTCCCTTATAATTGTAGATCTGTATCAGTCCACCAGATCATATTAGAAATAAATTTTTCCCATTTGAAAGTACTTAGTTACTTACGCATTTTACTGCTCGTGAAGCAGCATAGGCCGCTCACCAGAATTCTCCATCCAACCCTGTCCTGGGCAATCCTTTCCAGTTGTTGTTCATCCTTTTCATATCTGCTTCCAATTCTCAGTGTAGTGTGTTCTTTAGCCTTCCTCTTTTCCGCCTCCCTTCAGGATTCCAAGTTAGGGCTTGCCTCGTGATGCAGTTTGATGATTTGCGTAGTGTATGCTCTATCCATTTCCATCGTCTTTTCCTAATTTCTTCTTCAGCTGGAAGCTGGTTCGTTCTCTCCCACAGAAGGCTGTTGCTGATGGTATCCGGCCATATTGTTACTTAACTAATTTGTAAGTTTCTATCAAATATCTACACATTCACGTATATGTGAGATTAGTGAAAAAAAGCCTTCTTCATTACAATTTGAAAATCCGGAAAAACAACAATTCAACAGGAATTATTGGGAGTGTAATTTCAAACTAAGGTGACAACTTATTCATTCCCGGTTCGTTTTTAATGATTTCCTTGATAATCTAAACAAAATAATTACTAGTATTATAGTGATCTTCGTGTACATATCGCTTGTAATAAGAATTAAACACGCTAATGAGAAAAAACAATATCCTACAATAATTATATAATAAATGAAATATTTAGAAAAACAATTTGTTAAACTTCTCTTACAACTAACTCTAATACACTGGCAAAAGCTTGATATTTTATTAGGCAAAGGATAATGATCATTACGAATACAACTTGGTGTAACGAGACCCAGCTACATTGATACGAAGTTTATTCAAGTTTTATAGTTTGATGACACATGTTAACTCAGTAACTTATTACTAAAGAAGAGATCTGTAATTATTGAGAAGAATAAAATATTTCATTGTACACAAAGGTAGATAAGTTTGAAATTGTAAAACTTTTAACTGAATGAGTGGAAAAAGTGTTTTATTTGAGCGATATCAAGAATATGAAATACTACAACGACAATGGATTTTCAGTAAATAAGATCTATTAATACTAAAAAGATCAGAATCAATATAAAATAGTCTGTACTGATTGCATCGCCAATTTTTTTAATATCGGAATCGCTTATTACTTATACTTGTAAAACGCGAAACCACTGTAATTCCCACGATGCGAAGTCAAAATACCAAGACTGGTACAAATGAATATTTATTAACTCCAAAACATGATGACCCTAATTAAAAATACACTCATCTATATATTGATTTGTACACCGATTTTAATTATTAGTTAGGATGAAGTCACAAATACGAAAAATACCCAGAGTTATAACAAATCACACGCTGTGTGTCATGCTGAGCCAATTTCATGTTAATTTAATACAAGAATCTCGTATCTTGAATAAAACATCACATTCATAAATAAATTAATGTTATAACGAACAAAATATCACAATGGAAACCAAAACAAGTACTACACTAATTAATCATAATATTCAATTAAACAAACGGAAGTAATGTTGAACAAAAAAAATCATAAGTAAAAGAATGTAATTTTGACTTTTCAATCCCATCATATCATTGCCAAATAGATTCCTCACTCGGATTTTACCAATAGCACTGAATAATGATCTGTATTAATTACAATGACGATCTATCTAAGCATTAAACAAATTTACATTGAACTATACACTTGACAAGTGAATAATCAGCTGCAAGTAACCGAAGATTCTGTAAATTGAACTTGCATTGATATCATCAAATTAGTTAGCTTAAAACCGTGTTTTTTTTTAAATAATAGTTTGTTGGATTCAATCCCCACAAAGAGTGGAAATACTACTTACTGATTAATGTCAACCATGGCTTCCTGTTGATTAACGCCTCCAGCAAACCATCTAACAGTCTTTTATACCTGTCGATACTCTCTACAACACTGACAAATCCCATCAATGGATTTATCAAGGTGACATTGACCATTTTCATCAGTCTGGCATTATATTTTTGTTTATGTTAATTTTTACATTATTTAAATACAATTAGTTAGTAGATACGATAAAATGAATTATTTTGCTAGTCTATCAACCTGCAGATTAATAAACTTATTAGAAAACAGTAAAAAAAAGGCAGATTTTGAGTAGAATAAGATGGTCTTCAGTATGTCATAAAACTAGAGTGGCAAACAGATATTTCGGCTGTATTTTTAGCATCTACATCAGTGTGCACACAAGAACGCAACGCAGGTTCGAAACTACAACTTCTAGACCAAAAAAACCCAAAACACTCAAACCACGAGAGAGTGGAGGACAGGGTTAGATTTATTATAGTTCATTGGTAATCTAGCCGAAACCATCGAATAACTCATGAAATGTTAAGCTGTAGTCCGATCCACAAGAACATAAGGTTCTTAAAATGTAGAGAGATTTTCGAGAACCCATGATAGTATGACTGACTGGAAATCGAGTTTAATGATAATGGTACGTTAGATATTTTTCTTGATGCTCCAAGCATTTTATTATTATGCTCTTGTTAGGTGTTTAAATATAATACACTATATTAGTTTTAATATATAAATCCTTATGTTGACTTTTCATTTTGCACTTTGTAATGTGACAGTAAAAGCAATCAGAAACACAAAAGTATGCGTATAACATAAGTTGCTTTACATAATCTTAAAACGTTTTCTGTTCTAAATAATAAGGTCATTTATATATCGATAAAATGAAAAATAATGAAATGCAATTTTGATAATAACGGTAACAATGACAGTCAGTTTAATCTACATAGTAACATACTTTCATTCCAGCCAACATTACCAACCGCAAACAGAACAAGTGTATAGGAAAAGAATATTTCAAATAATAATGGCAGTTGGAGAAAAAAAGACAACTGGAGAGAAGTCAATTGACTGGTGTATATTATTTATAGATCGGATAAGAAAGTAAAACTATGTTACTGAAAAAAGTAAACATACGGAAAGTTACAAGAAACTGATCACAAATGGCAGTAAGATTAAATACCATAATAATTAATGTGAGTTAATGAAGTAGTATACAGCATACTCATCAAAAAATTCATTCATCCAGGAAAAAAATGAAAGTGACATATATAATATAGGGAAAACAGTATAGTGTCAAGATCCATCATGTAAAGAAATCAGTAAGTACGTTACATGTTGAATAGTTTCTAAGTATTGGGAAATAATAAAACAGCCCAGAGTCAGACATCTGACAAACGCGAAAATAAAAATGAAGTGAGAATCTGTAGAAACAACCGGTCAACTTCACACATCAATCAAAGTGATTATATATATAATTGCAACAAGCTTGGTCACAGGCAGAGAAACTGAATAAAATGAGTATTTAACTATAAGTAATTGTGCACGTAGTTATTCGAACATAGTTAACTGAAAGACACCAAAGGTAATTTTTCTTTTGGTCATCATACCATTGGACTTGAATATAATATTCGTATACACATAACAGTTTTCAGCATTTACGATCTGGGCACTTAGTTTGCACTATTCGAAGTTTTTTCACATCTTTATCATACGTTAAACCAGTTTCACATGGTGTTATCACAATACTTGGGTGACGATTAGCCTGATCACGTGGGTGCAATTCAAATGCCTCACCTACAGATACATAAGTATTTGTATATCATAAATAATGACAGAAATAACAAAAAACTAAAAAAATCAATACAGGAATACTTATAATTTAATTGTATCTTCTTAGGATCCTTTTCAATAGCCCAATGTGACACTCTTTCCATATCCCTTGAAGTAAGCTAAACAATTAGCGATCAACCAAACTTTCCTACTAAGTTTATCATTAGTAAAGTATCTTACAATCTCTTGAAAGGATTTGATGTAGATTTTGTTTTATGGTTGTGACCAACATTCTTTTTTAACTAAGAACAGTTTCACACACAAACGACCACTACAAGTTAGTCAGTCTAACATTTTTAGACTAACTTATGCACAAATGTTATCAGTCACGCGTTATATTTTTATTTTCAAGAAGTTGAACCAGAAAATATACAATGCTTCGTGAAGATCTGTTTAGAATAATCCGAAAACTATTTATTTACAAGTATATTTTATAGCAAACCTGCATGTTACAACCCAAAATTATTTAGTCATTTTACCTATTCCCACTCCCATCCTACACTAGAAACTAAATAAGATATCTAGGAGTATTTTCGACCGTTTAACAAGAGAATGGGAAGTCCTCGATAGTCCGCAACAATTTATTTATGGAAATATCGATGTCTCCCTAAAGTAACTATTTGTCATATAAGCAAGGGCACTCTAAGTTATAAGTTAACAGTTCTCATGACCACGCTACAATAATTACAAAGTGTCTCATTCGCACACACATTACTTACTAAAATTAGCCCAAAACTTATTTATCAAAATATTCATACACCAAGTAACTTGAATAAATGCACACATTAGACTCACCTGGTGCTAATGAAGCTAAGGCATGTAAAAGTTCATAATTGATAACAGGTTCACATTCTGGTTTTGGTTCCCACCCAACAGGAGGTGAAGCAGGCGGAGAAAGTAAGAATAATCGACATGGTTTTGGAGGAGCTAAATGTTTCATTGAACAACCCAAACTACGTCGCTTATATTTACCATGTTTACAAACTTCGTTTGAAAAAACCGGTACATCTATATTCTTTTCACCAGACATGTTGCTTATATTTTTGAATTCAGAAATAGTCCTATCTGGAGACATTTCCTTCTGGCTTCTAAAATTGCGACTACTATTAACAATAGGAGATACGGGTGATGCAATAAATTCTGCTGAATTTTTTTCTACATCTTGATTTAACAGTTTACTGTTAGCGAGTGAAGTCGATTGAAAGTCTGTATTCTCTTTACAATCTTCGGTTCGATCATCACCAAAGTACTCATCAGAATCAACCGTGCATTCTGGATTATCACAGTAATCGAACTCCTCTTCTTGATTAATTTCATTTTTGTCGTTACTATCTTCGAAATTCCCAATATAACAATTAATTCCACCACTATTAGAATTTACTGAACTGTTTGGTATGTTAGCATATACATGTTCAGGAAGCATCCACCCTTGAGTCTCCAAACGTGCCAACAACGCAGCTTCTGGTCTGTTCATGTAAATCTATCGAAGATGAGCAAATAGATTGCTTACAGAAATACCTCGTGGAATGAAAGTAGGATTTGATATATGTATATGTTTTATAAACAGATACTTAGTTTTTACTGTATGTACGCTTTTATTTTACCACAAAACTCTGAATTAAGCATCATACACGATAATGACAGTAATTTAGGCTTATTCTATGATCGAAACATTGACAAATTTGAGTTTCAGTTTTAACTGTTATTAAGACATGACTCCAAAGAGATTATGTCTGGAATTAAGGATTGTAAAAGTAAGCTGTTTAGTTTTATAGGCTAAGTGTTAGTCAGCAAGTAAATCATCAATAAAAAAACATGCTAACAGGGACTGAACAATAAAGTGACTAGCGAATAAATAACTAAGATCCACATGTACAACCAACCCCGACCGGAGTTGTTACCTTAACATAGAGGCAGGGTTTTCCAATATTGATGACTCAACCGAGTTATATTGGCTGAAGAATATGTACCTTTAGGTCCCAACATGCCAGACAGACCGGATGGAGAACGGTAAGTCTAAAAGCAGCAAACCAAGGCCTGAGGGCGAAGTCGTACTGCTGACTGTATAGGGGTAGGACAAAAGTAAGTTGTTTTCCTCGGACAATCTTTTCACGACGGAAGGAAAGGGTTAGAATAAGTCGACCCTAAAAATGTCACGCCTCAACTTACCTCACGAGTATCTGACTCCGGCGGTAAGGCCTTTTGAAGTGCGGAGCTAACACCGTAAACTCCCCACGTAGAAACCTTGCGCGACTGGCCGCAAGTTCGACCAAACCGAACAGTGAGAACTCGAAAAATAGTGACACGCCGTTTCCTTGTCGTTGTCTCTGATTACGCTCCCACTGATTGTAGCTCGGAAAAATTTGAAAATGAATTTTATAGGAAGTTACCCAACCTCCGTCAAACAGCTAAACTCTGATTTAATAATAGTGGCAGGTGGTTTTAGTGTTTAAGTAACTAAACTAAGCCGAACCAAAAGGCACTAAGGCGGAACTTACGTTGTCGTGGCTCAGTGAACAGATTAGGGCGACCGTCTGCTGTGACTATGCCCAGATAACTGTCTATTCCTGTCGAACACCAACTTCAAACATAAGGAGAAGCACCGTATGACGTGGTGATGGGCTCAAAGAGATCACATTGTCATAAGCCATCGTTGGAGGGGATTGATTAAGGATTACTACCCATTCTAGAGCATACGCTTGGACTCAGATCATGCTAATTTGAGCAGGTATTCATTTGCGTCTTTCTGGACGTAGAAAAGAAAACTACAGGCTACAACACAGTACTTGAGAAATCATTCGAAATTCGTTGGTCTCCGCTACAATACGTACCTTAGTTTCCACTGGGCAATACATATACGTTAGGAAACTTTTACCACACCTGCATTGCTGTTTCGAGGCATATGACTAGCGGACAGTTAATAGATGATCGTAGTAAAACTAGCTGATCATTTACGAATCAGTGTAACTACAAGCTCATCAATAGACCCGTAAATGTTGGAGAAAATGTTTAAGATCAATAAGATTCATCACCATTTGTCAGTAGGCGGTCCTTATTTATAGTCGCGTCACATGGAAGTTTTTGAATAGAAATAATTAACATATGGTTCCTGACTAAATACTAAGTTTTTAACTTACTAGAACTCTTTGGAAACTCGGCAGGTATACGAATTTGGACTGATTGTCAAAAGACCTAAATAGGTCCTCGAAGCATACCTAGAAAACAAATATCTGAAGAAACGTCAGACTTCAAACCTGTGCAACATCATACTTGAAAACCTCAAGAGGAACATTAGTTATGATAAGTTTCAGTGAGACTCCACTAAGAACTTCCATGATTTCCTGTATTTCTTCAGCCGAGAATGTAAATCCTTTATTAGCTAATGTCATTTGAACATCACAAGCTTCTCGACGTTTACTATCCATTTGGACTCATGCAAAGCAAAAAGGCCATTCATAAGCAAGCACGAAAACCACACACGACCTTAGGGGAATTCACTGAGTCAGGCCTTTAAAATGTGGAACAGTAAAACAATAGAAAGCCGCAAGCGATTTTAATTCAAAGGATAAATAGATCACAAGCGGAAGAATTCTCTTAGTTAGGAGGATGATAATAAAATAACACGAAAAAATTCTTTCAACCTGATAGCTTCAAAACGTGTCTATGTCGGACGATCGTTTACGGACTTTGTCAAGTATTGATAGAGAACTGATTACCTTTTAGAATTTGCGTCTGTATTAGGAATGTGACCTTTTGTGGCGAAAACCATAAACCCTTACAGCCATTTTTCAACAAAGCGGGATAAAAAGACACATTGATTCAGTAACTCGGAAATAAGAGAATCAAGTCACTAGTTGTATTCAGGCAGCTGAAGCGAGTGTTTTTAAATGTTGGTTGATCAGCAGGATTCCATTCATCTGGTCTCATTTTCAATTTTGAAAGAGATGTATCTTAGACTATGGAGACGAGATGATTTCATCCTGACAGTTTTTATTCACGAACCTCTTCTCGACAAAAACTAGGCCCAGAAATAATATCACCGTACTTCGTACTCATGAAGAGCTTCCAAAGAAGCTACGTAATAAATGCACTAATTATCAACACACGGAAAAAATTAGTCGGACCCGATGAATTACACTCTGAAACCCTGAGACAAATTGCAATGTGCTCTGTTTCTTGTCACTACTGTATTTGTGAGGTCATTCAGTCTTAGTTGGTTACCTATGAACAGGAGAGATTCGACCGTCACTTCAGCTGATAAGGTAGAACCGGGAAAATTTCTGACGAACTGCAGAAAAATCAGCTTTATCAGCATCATAGTTAAAACATAGGTAAGTATCATCAAGAACGTCATTACAACCTTTATGTTAACAAACAACTTGTTAGATAGCAGGTAACACGATTTCAGGAAACGATTATTATGCATGTAAAGATGCCACAAGTATTCAGAGTGTTACGACGCCTTTGCATATAACACCCTTATGATCAACGCATACCAGCCCAGTAAATCAGAAGCCAGGAACGAAATAGTTTGAAGATATATTTGGAAGGCTATCGACATGTAGAGAAGCTTTTGGTCTAAGCCGGCTAACAGTTACAAGGGATGAGTTACATGGCGTGCCTATTCACGATCTGGCGCGGATTCGTATCTGAAAGCCCTGAACCAGGCGTGTTCATTAAAAAGTTTGGCATTAAAGTCGACAGCTTACAGAACTGTTTATTTTAGGTATTTATTTACCACTACACACGACTAACCTTTCTATGGTAAGAGAGAGATGAACGTAGACGTGTATTGTCGATACGTCTGTAGATGTTGTCTACCTTGATTTTGGCTAAGTATTTAAAAATGTGTAGTATGATAGACTCCTTTTAAAGCTGAAAACTCCAGGCGCTCGTTGATCTCCCCTAAAGTAGATAAAAGATTTTCTGAATGGTTGTTAATAAAAATCAAAAGTAAACCCCCAATTTTCCTGACGGAGACCACTGCTTGTTGAAGTAACACGAGGCTCGGGCGCTAGCAAAAAGTTGATGATATAAAAGTATAGCGATAAGTTAAAGGTGTAGATGCTGGTGTATTGAAATTCAACTAATAATTCTGGCTAAATGGTCAAAATTATGGTTGACACTAATTCTTGCGGTAAAATGCACATTGTGGGACCGGAGGTAAATCACGAGGATTTTGGAGAATCGTCTGTGTGCTTAGTCTTTTCCACAATTATCGAGCGGCAAAAGAGTACCGGGACATTAAGTTCACGATTCACAACTATGTTGTTGTATTTGGTAGTATCAAACAAATTCAGTGGATGGTGGAAAGTTAATCATATATTTTTTTTCTCTTTTATGCCAATGAGTACAGAATTGCACTTTTAACCTTTTGTGGCCTAATATTAGCCGCTCTAAAGAAACGGTGGATTCAGAGCTTTTTGGCCAATTAGGAGGACGTTTACGAGACTTGAATTTCTTCGAAGAGCTACAGATGCGCATCGATGTCAAAAACTTATTTTCTAGTGAAATAAGAATTGTAGTACTGAATTCTTTTTTGTATAGAAGAAATCTTTTTGTCGCATTTACCTATGCCCATAAAACAGTCGACTGATTCTAATATCTTGAACTTTCCATTGTATGACCTCTTGATCTATAAGGTCTTACGCAGGAATCACATAACTATATGTACTAGCTTACCGTACGTGTAAACCAGTATTACTGTCTACAGGAAAGTTTGAAGAGCATATTTCGGCTGGTGATGGGATAATATGTTTAATGACAGCATTAAAATATGCCGAGCGACCATCTCTGTACGTTGGAGACACGGTCTCGATAATGTGTTTCCGCAATGATCTTGACTCATTCTCCCCAATTTCCCAGAGGTTACCGTAAATATTTTCAGTTGTTGTGTAGTCTGGAGACACTGTTATTTCATTCTCATTAAAGGTTAATCGTCATTCTTTAATGTCATACTTTGCTTTGGATGAATTGTACGTTATTTTAACCATTTTTTGCTTATATGGACGAACTTATCTTGCCATCCGATTTATTGAATTGAATATCCCCGCGTTCCCCATTGTTAACCTTCTCTTCATGAAAAATTGTTGGACAAAATCTTCCCAGTTATTATATGCTCAATTTCAAATATCAAGTGGTTAGGGTCTAATGCCACCGCAGTCCGACATGAGATCTGCACTTAACTATCTGTATAAGGTTTGTAGCGGTAAATAAATCCCCAAAATAAATAGCTCTGTAAGTTTTCGACATTCGATGCTGACCATAGGTTTTAATGGACTCACCTAGCTGAAGGCGCTCGATCATGCATCCGCACCAGATCACGTGTGGGAACGCCGTAATCAACATCCACTGCAATCGCTAGCCAGACTGGATCAGACAATTCCGATATATTAGTAATCGTCAAATACAACTTCTGATCTCGTCGATTCTGCCTTTTGATTTCTCTTGGTGGGTACGAGTTATATTAGAAGATGTTACTGGTGAAAGCGTTGTCAAACACTGAATACCTGTGCCATCTTCAGGTTGGATAAACAGAAAAACAAATGACTTTTTGTAAGATCTTTCATATAGTCCTGTAAAAATATCACAGAAATTTATCAGTAAATATACATACTGTATATAAGACAGTATATGTTGATAGGTTTTGACACAACCTCTGCATTTGACATCTTGTGGACTCAAAATTTGGAATGGTGCAACAAGCGAGAGGCATATGGTACGGTATATTCCTACAAAGAAAGTGTCTAAAAAAGTAAGAGTCACTCCTGGTTTCAAGCGTAAGATAGCACCTAGCACATGTGGTCAGACGCGTTAAGAAACTGAGAAGAACCTACCATTATATAGCGCCGTTCAAGATCATAATAATTCTTTAGTTTTACCGTTATTTTATTAAATGTGTAGAATGCGTGTGCGGCTAGACGAAAATGTTGCCAACTGCTTTTGGAGAAATAGCTATAATAATCTTGAATAACGCGGTATTACTCGGAAAATTTCATAACATAACTTTAATCTTCTTGATTATTCGGCCCTTTCTGATCAGTATATACTTTCCAAGCAAATATAAAAACGTGAACGTGTATTATGTAAAGTCAGATATAAACCACCTAAGATTTTCCACCTCTTTAATACAAGAAAGACGGGAAATTACTTTACCACTGTGGATTTATTTTATAGTCTACGCTCCATAAATGCACCATATATTCATACTCGCCTTAAATCTTTCGTATCATGGACATGTAAGTTCCACATCCACCGGTCTTCAGGTTATAGCTTTATTCTTTGACTTTCATTAGGAAGGAGTGTTTCTGTAACACAAATCTGCTCCGAACCACTAAAGGGTTCTGCAAATGATTCTTCAATTAGGAGTTATGTCCATATCATTACAGCTGCACTTCAATAACCAAGTTGAAAATGTAACAAAAACTTCGCAGAAATGAATGAAGATGATCTTCTTAGATTAAGTGCTCTCTATCTTTGTGAAAGGAAATTGATGATAGCTGTAGAATTCAAACTACAGTTTGGACTGAAGAATAGTCGTTCGGGCAGGTTAGACACGCGCCCTTGCCCGTCAAAATCAAAACAAGTAATCGGGTAAATAGCGGTTTTATAATCCATCATAAATTTAAATGTACATCGTTACCTAAACAAATATTACCACGCAGCTATTCAACCAATAATTGTTCAATCGATCAGATTTAAATTACAAAAAATATAGAAGTTGATAAATGATGAGGGAAAAATTACCAGTCACAACAAATGAACGCTATTTTATCCTGACTGGATATAACACGCACAAAAAAAGCAGCAAATCAATATAGCTGCCGCCAAGAACAAGTATCAAGTAAAGCAACATAGATGCAGTTCGGGAAGAAACACAAAAACTTAATGAAGGCGTGAAAAAAACTACAATAGAAATACAAATATTACCAATTCAAATGTAGTCGAAAGATTAACAATGTGCAACTAAGGGAATCAATAGGAACAAAGTGCAAGTGTATACATGGAGGGATTTTCATACAAACACAAAACATTCAAAACGGATCTTACAATATCAGTAAACGCTTTACATTGAGGCTCAGAACGATATGGTAAGGGAAAGTAAGATCGGATGGCAATAAAATTAAGTCGTTCTGCACATTAGATAAATGCACTAATAAATAAGGTTTGATTGTACAAGCGGTTAACTAAGTTTTGGTAACAGGGGTCGGCATAAATGACGGAATCCTGAAAACGATGAACACCTCGAACTGCGGACGAAAAAATGTGGCTTGTTTCAGATAAAACTGCCCTTGTTGAACACGGGAATATGCATATAGTAAACATTTTTTATCTTCATTTAATTGTTTCAAATGACATATTATGACCTTGAAAATTTTAAGTACCAGGTCGAGATGCCGTTCATTTCACAAAATTGTGAGTCCAC